CTGTCTAAGACTTTGCTGCCAGAAGCATCGGGCCAACACCTCCTGCAGCAATGACAGCATCAGCCCATCTCACAGTCTCTTCATCATACTCTCTCCGTTTCACTAGACGAACTTCAATTCCTTCATTCCTTAAACTATCTACAATATGCTCCACATTTCTGGTGTGAATATGATGGCGTTCAAGCAATCCACTGAAGCTAGAGCCTTTTAATGCAAGCAGCTGCTTGAGGTCCTTCCTCCTCCGAGAGCTCCGCTGCTGTTCGAATTTGTACCGGGTGGTTTTGGCCACCATAACCACCCTGGACGGCCGGAAGGCGCCAGCTCGCGCGGCGGTCCCTGCCCAAGGTGCTGCAGCCCGGCCGCCCGCTGACAGCTGCCCAGCAGGAAGCCTTGGTAGCAAGTCATCATCAGCCCCGCCCGGGCTTGCAGGCAGTGGCTCCTGCCTCCGCCCGACTCCCTTTGCCCTTTTTTTAAAAAAAAAAAATAAAAAATGAAACAACCCTTCTATTTTCTGTTTTGATACCTGATCCTTCCAAGGATTGTTTTAAGATACTGGGGTGGGGCGTACTTGCTCTTCAGGGAGTTGTTTTCTGCTAGGACAAGACAAGTTGTCAGTGAGTGTCTGGTTTCTGGCTTCTTGTTTGGATACTGGCTCTGAATCTGTTTAGAACCAGAGACAAGCTTGTGAGCTTTAGAAAGGACCTTCTGGGAGGAATTTGAAGGATGCAAGTCCTGCTGTACTTGACCACGACTAACAGATAGTGGATTCTGAGAAGGAAGTGGTTGGGCTAACAGAACATGCTTAGAACCATCACCAAGTGAGAGTGTAGCCTTCAGAGGGGCTGAAATACAGGGTTTTGTTTGTTTGTGTGTGGTTTTTTTTTTTTTAGATTTATCTCTGATGCCCTGTGCTCGCCACACTTTTTATTATTCTGTTTACTTTCCCTTTTTATTGGGAATCTGGGGAACATTAGAGTTTAGGATCATTAAATCAATATATTTGGTGATCCAGTATTGACAACATGATCTGAATTCTGGGAGTAAGTGGTTTTTCAGTTTAAAGGGTAATATGTCTGTGGTCTCCAAAGGAGAAGAGAACCATATTACTCAATGATCCTTCAAAGGGGTTTGAAAAGAGAATTCATTTCCAGGTAGATAATCATGCAACACTAAGGTCACTTAGGACAACCAGACTTGGTGGCCTTGTCTATTTTTCTATTAGTTTCTGGGTGAAATATACTCTTGTCAGTCTGAGATTAATAGTTCTATTTTCTACTCACTGTATTTTAGAAAATTCTATTACTAAAGTAATTTGTTGGAAAAAAGAAAACTAAGTTTTCAAGACCTTTTCCTTAAGGCTATCAACATATACGTTCCATAAGTTCCTTCACTTTCCTATCTTCATAAATTTCTAAGACTATGACTCTAAAGCACTGACAGGTCAACATTGAGGATGCTACAATCCCTAGGTAATATAATAATCAATGTTAATCACTTCAAGTAGGAGTGTGTTGTAACTAGATGGAAACAGTGGCTATAATAAATTACTAGATTTACAATTGTACAGTCATGGGGTGGGGGTGTGTGCGTGTGAGAGAGAGAGACAGACAGACAGACAGACATAGAGACAGACAGACTCAGTTTAGGAAAAATCATAAAGTGAAAGTAATTGTGAATTTTATTTAATGATTCAAACACACAAGCAAATTAAATAACCCAACAGCAAATATTTACAGTGTACACTAGTTTCCAAGCAATATGCAGATATAACAGATAGAGTGGGAGATTGTAGTTAAATGGAAGAGATAGACAAGTAAAACAGAAATAATTGCTGGGACCCTACTGCTGTGCTGAGAGGAGGAGCACAGAAGTGTGGAAGCACAAAGTACCCCTAAAATTTTGATACTATTTTTCTCATATAATCTGTCAGTGTAGTTTGCTCACCATGGACTTATTGGCCCTGAGATCCTTGTTTGCTTTAGTCTTCTCCTGTGCTGCAATTAACTAGGCTTCTCAACATTTGGCTCCCATCTTGGGTCAGTCAACAGGGTGGAAGAAGAGACCAGAATGCAGGATGTGAGATGAGCCAGAATTTATTTTCTCCTTCTTTTGCATGAGGTGGCTTCTCCTGCAATGACTACCTATTCTCCATGCACACTGCCCCTCAACCTGCTCGGGTCAGACTGGCCCACCACAGCTCCAGATCCCACTGAGCCCAACACCTAGACTCCAGTAAGAATTTTATCCTCATAATTTCAGTCAAGAAGTGGGAAAGACATCCTCATATTGTTAATACTTAGAGTCCTCTACTTGCCTGTTTGGCTTTTCCATCTGTTGTCTAGCCAATTCTCTGCTTTAAAATCCACTCTCTGATGATATTTACAGTGTTTTTCTATTTTCTTAGAAATTCCTTAACTATTCCATGTGGTCAATTATATTGATCGATTTTTTTTTTCTTCAGTTGTTAAGTTTCTTTTCATAGCTGGAATAAAGTTAAATATGTTTAGAGTTTTTCTCTCTATAATTAATAAAGAAAACAAAATAACCCTGGGCCCTTAAATAGTCTCCAAATATCATTCTAACTCTATCAACCTCTTCATTTCCTTGTAAAAATAATTTCTTTTGTTTTATGTGTGTCTGAAGCATTACATAAAAGGAAACTGCCAGAAATTCAGAATGGATTCAGAAGAGGCCATGGAAGAAGTGGATCACTGCTGATGTCATATGGATCTTGGCTGCAGCAGAGAATATGAGAAAGATATTTACCTGTATTGTGTTGACTATGAAATGTAATTAGATTGCTTTCGGCAGGACTGTCATTTTCACAATATTGAGTCTCCCTATCCATGAACAGGGCACATTTATCCATTTCTTTAGGTCTTTTACTGTGTCTTGCAAAAATTGTCATTTTCTTTGTATAGGTCTTTTGTTATTTCTAGTTAGGTTCACTCCCAAGTATTTGAATTTGTGGTTGGCTATTGGAAGCAGGAATGGCATCTACTTCCCAAACAACATGCCTCTGGATATTCTATGAACTTTGAGAAATGATGATAGTTATAGAAAGGCTTCAGGTCTTTTGTTCATAGAGTTGCTATAAGCAGTGCTTGACTTGATGGCAATCAACAACAACAATTGTAAATGGTATTCCTTTCTTGATTTCCTTCTCTGAGCTCCCTTTGTTACTGTAGAGGAATCCCACAGATTTTTGGATATTGATCTTAGATCCCACCACTCTACTAAATTGGCCTACTAACTCTAACAGAGTTTTTTTTTGGTTGAGTCTTTGAAGATTCCTGTGTATACTATCATAACATCTGCATACAGTGATAGTTTAATCATGTCTTTGCTGATCTGGATGCCTTTTATTTTCTTCTTTTGTTGTATTGCCCTAGCAAGCACTTCTAATACAATGTTGAATAGAAATGGTGACAGTGGTCCCTGTTTGCAAGGAAAATGCTTTTCATCTTTCTCCACTGGGAATAATGTTGGCTCTTGGTTTTGCATATATAATTTTCACTATGTTGAGGAAATTCCCTTCTATTCCAATTTTTCTGAGTGTATGTATCAGGAAGAGATGTTAGATTTTGTCAAATGCCTTTTCTGCATCAATTGCTGAGATCATATGGTTCTTGTTATTTACTTTGTTAATATAGTGAATTATGTTGATTGCTTTTCTTATATTGAACCATCCTTGGTGGGAAGCAGTTTGGCACTACCTCAAAAAGCTGAACATAGAAATTCCAAAAGACCTAGCTATTCCAGTACTTGGATTATACCCTGAGAAAATGAGAAGTGAGGCACAAACAGAGATTAGTACACCAATGTTCATAGCAGCATTATTCACCTTCGCAAGAACATGGAAACAGCCCAAATGTCCAATCACAAATGAATTTATTGAGAAATTATGATACATTCACACAGTGGAATACTATGCAGGATGCAGAAGCAACAACTTTGTAAAGTGTTATGTAATTTGGGAGGGACTGGAGAGCATTATGCTGAGAGAACTAACTCAGTCCCATAATGATAAATATAGTATAAAACCGTTATTGTAGAATAAGTATAAGGATCCAAGAGGGGTGGGAGAGGCTGGAAGCTGAGGGATGTGGATGTGTGTGTGGGGGAGGGGGTTGTTAATCACTGAGTTGTAGAATTTGATGAGGGGGTTGAGGGATATTGAAAGAATTTGTTTGAATTTGTATTTGAGTTTTGTAAATAAACTAGGAGAGAAAAAAAAGCCAAGGGCTCTAGTGGCTGAGTCCATAAGGAGTGGTGCTCCTAACACAAAGATGGTGCCTCTCTGGGCAGTAATGTCTCCATAGGAGAAAAATAGGCCATCTCCTCAAACTCAACGGCAGTCACTTTGAGTTGGAATGGAAGCAAAATACAAAAACAGCAAGATAGACAAAAAGCTTGATCTGACCAATATTGTAACTACAAATTTAAAGAAATTCAGGGGCTGATGACAACGTTAAAGACCACCAAAGTATTGTAAAATTCATACAATGGTAAATTGCATGAGATGCAAACCAATAAACAGAGGTAGTTAAATTGACTCCGGGTGACACCTTGTGGGTCAAAAGAGAATTGTGCTTCATGGGATTTTCAATGGCTTATCTATTTTTGGCAGTAGATAGGCAGGCCTTTCTTTCTAGGCACATTTAAATGAACAGAAACATCCAACTTTTGTACTAGCAGCTGTGCACACAAACTGTTTGCACCACTGAGGGACTACTTATTGTCAACACTTGAAAGCCCTGCACAGGGGGCTCAGAAGAGCTGCCTTCATTTCGTTCTTTGGGCGTCTCAAGGAGGTAGAAGTCTAGTGCAGAGGGATGCACGTCACCTCAAGTCAGCAGAAGCAATGTGTTGGTGGTCCTTCAGAGGGAAATTGTTGTTGTTGTTAGCACTGAAGGCACCTCCCCCAGGCTCCCAGCCCAGCCCCGCCCCGCCCGCCCCGCCCCTGCTGTCCGCCCTGGGACGACCCTGCACATCCCGAGATGCTGTTGCCAGATTTCCTTGGGCGTCTGTTGAAGAGACCCCGTCTGGTGTCTTCTGAGGAGGTCGGGATCCGTTCAGTGGAGAAGCGGCGTCCTGCCGGTGGGACAAGGTGAGGACCCTGAAAGGAGACTGTGAGACCAGCGACCCCAGAGAGAACCCCAACCAAAACAGACGTGCTTTCACAGCTTGGAGGGTCTAGTGAGGACTGATGGGGGCGCCCTTCTCACGACTTTCTCTGGGGTCTTAGGGAGATAGGAGCCTCGGGCCTAGCTTCAGGTCCCCAGAGGGCGGGGACGGCAGCCTCTCAGGAGTCGGTATGTTAGTTGAAGGGAGCTCTGGTGGCTTATCCGAGGGCATAACTTTGAGGGATCGAATCTCCTAGTGGCTCTGGGGGAGTTAAGGTCGGCAGTCTCTGACCATTTGATTTACAACATCGGGGAAATTCACGGGAGGGTCAGTAACGAGTCGCTTCTGACTCAATGAGAGTGAGTTGAGTTTCTGTTGAAGAGGTTTGAGAGCGCTTCTTCCCCCCCCCCCCCCCCCCAAGCAACAGAAGGCCCCATGCTCTGCCTTGTCCCCGCCGTCTGCCTCAGGCCGAGTCCCCAGATATTCCGTTTAGGTTGGGCCCTGGGATTATGTGGCCAAGAGGGAGCTAAACTCGGCCTGGGGCCAGGAGGGGGGCCTGAGGCAGGGCTGGGGCGGGGGCTTCCTTACTGTGGCCAACGTTCAGTTAGGGGCTCCGGGCAGGAGCTCGGCCCGTCCCTCCACCTTTCCTCTCTTCTCCAGCTAGACACAGCCTCAGTTCAGCACAAAGGAAGAGCGGCCGCCCGTCAAGAGTAAAGGTAATCGTTTAAGGGAGTCCTGGTGGCCTAGTGGTAGGAGCTGCGCTGCAATCCCAAAGGCACGGGCTTGGAATCCACCAGCTGCTCAGTGCGGGCAAAGATGGGCAGTCTCCTCCCTCTGTGATTAACTGGCTCTGAAAAGCTGCTGGAGGGTCAGCTATGAGTCAGTTCTGACTCCATGGCACACAACGCCACAACATGATACCTTGAAGAAAACTGTGGGCAGCAATTCCCTCACCCCACTCCTATCCTAGATTTGGCGTGGCTCTGCCCTTGCTGTCGGCCCTGGGCAGAGTCCCTGGATGTCTCTTTTGCAGGATTTGCACTTCTGGCTGGTGAGGGATATAGGATTCCCTCTGAGGACGCCAGAAGCAACTCAGCAGAGGGAGGGGCCAGGCCCTGCCGGGCAAGGTGAGGATCTGGTGGATGAAGGGTTGAGCCTTGCCTCCACCCAGTACCCTCCCCAATTTCTGAGTCGCCTCCTTCCCCCTCTCTGTGTTGTTCCCTCTCACTCGCTTGCTCCATCCTTCCATAACGCTCCTTCTCCCTCCTTGCTTTCTCCTCCTTAGCTCCTAACTCCCACACCTCTGCCCCACCCCTGGCCCAGCTTTCAGCCCTGGGAGACTGACCAAAGGTTGCCAGATTGCCTGGGCCCCGACTCCTGCCTGCAGGATGAGGCGCTCAGAACTGTGAAGACTTTGGCCTAAAGGGACCAGACTCAGACCCACACAGGAATAGGGCTCAGGCAAGGTCAGGAGCCAAGATGAAGACACTGAGAACTGGAAGTTTTCCAGACACAGTTGGGAAGAACACCTACCTGCCAGCCTTACTCTTGCTGTCTAAATTTGAGGGTCCCCAGGCAGTCTGAGCTGACTTTTGGTTCCTCTGACAGGGACTCAAGGAAGCTGGAGGTGAGAGTATTAGTCTTAGGCACGCAAAGGCTGTTCTTGTCAGCATAGTGGAAGAGGCCTAACCGCTTTCAGGAGCCAAGGTGAGGACCCTGAACATCTGTCAGGACCTGGCCCTGCCCTGCTATAACCTCTGGGAGTTTCAAATTATGGTGGCCAGACACTAAGAGCTGTATCACTTCTTTTAGACTTCTTGAAGACAGGCAAGCCAAGAGGCCAGGATACTTGTGAGGTCTTAGAACACCACATAAACAGAAGGTTGGTAAATTTATTTCTGTTGGAGCCCCTTAGCTTCCCAGGGGTGCTTTAGCAGAGGTACCGAAAGTGGGTGACTTATAGAAAAAAAAATTATTTCTGACAGTTCCGAAAGCTCAGAGGTTCAATTCAGTGCATCAGTTATAGATAAAGGATCTCTCTCCATGGACTCTGGGAGAAGATTGTGGTCTTAGCTTCTGTAGACCCAGCATTCATTAGTCTCTTAATAATTGTCATGTAGCGTGTCTTTTAAAGAATTTATGCTTGCGTATCTCTGTCATTATTACTCTCCCTCACTCAGCAGTTAGCAGGCTGGAGGCACATCCTACACTTACATGACATCATTGGCATAACAAAGAAAATATTGTTCCCAAAGGATATAGCCACAGTATTTTTGTTATGAGTTGTTATTAGTTTGTTATTAGTTGATTCCTGACTTCACGTAACCTCATGTGTACTTCCTACAGTGTCTGTAAAGGTGTGATCTTTCAGAGACAGATCTTCAGGACTGTCTTCTGAGGGGCTTCTGGGTGTATTTGAACAACCAGCTTTTCAGTTAGTAGTGGCGAGCTTAACGGTTTGTGCCACCCAAAGACTCTTTTATACAGCCACACCACCTTTCAAGGAGATAGAATTCAATCCATAATAGCTGCCAAGGTTGAGATTTTCAGCAGAGGCTATTCACATTATCTTTTTCTCCGTCAGGACTGTGGGTCCTCATTTCCCATCCTCCTGCCACCTCTCCTGCCAGCTATCCTCAACATTCATCATCATGTCTCGTCGTCCAAAGTTCCCACGCTTCACACTTGAACAAGACATTCCTTTACAAGTTGAGGTGCCTGATACTTTAACATCATCGAGTTCTTCTCAGAGTCCTCCTCAGAGTCCTCCGCGGACTCCTACTCAGAGTCCTTTCTCCTGCTCTTCACTGAGCACCTCTCATGAGGGTGTGGATGTCCTGCATACTCCACAGACGCTCTACTCCTCTCCCAGTTCTTCAAGCGTGTTTGATGAGAACTCCAGCATCCCAGAAGAGGAAACAAGTGAAAGCACCTCGTCAGGTTCAACAGACGAGAACTCCAGCATCCTGGAAGAGGAAACAAGTGAAAGCACCTTGTCAGGTTCAACAGACACAGTGTTTTTGCCCAGAGTTCCACTAGAAAAGAAAGCAACAGAATTGGTCCACTTCCTGCTTTGCAAGTATCAGATGAGAGAGCCCATCACAAAAGCAGACATTCTGGACACTGTGATCAAAAATTACGAGAGTCACTTCACAGTGATCATGGAGAAGGCTTCTAAGTGCATAGAGATGGTTTTTGGCATTGAGGTGAAAGAAATGGACCCTGACATCCAGTCCTATGAGTTTGTCAATTTACTGGATCTCACCTATGATGAAAATCCGAGTGATGAGCAGAAACTGCCCAAGAATGGCCTCTTAATACTTGTTCTGGGCTTGATTTTCCTGGAGGACAACTGTGCCTCTGAGGATAAGATCTGGGAATTCCTTAATACGATTAAAGTGTTTGCTGAGAAAGACCATTTCATCTATGGGGATTCCAGGCAGCTCCTCACCAGAGACTGGGTGCAGGAAAATTACCTGGTTTATCGACCAGTGCCCAACAGTGATCCTCCCTGCCATGAATTCCTATGGGGTCCAAGAGCTCATGCAGAAACCAGCAAGATGAAAGTTCTTCAATTTTTTGCCAAGGTCACCGGAAATGACCTTAGTTCCTTCTCACCCTGGTATGAAGAGGCTTTGGAAGATGAAAAAGAGAAACTTCAAGCCAGAATTGTTCCTGTGGACAATAGTACTATAGATCCTTCACCAACAGACTCTTCTGCCCCCATCTCGAGTCCTGAGTCGTGATGGTTGAAGCATATTCACCATTCTACTAGAAGGGTGCAATCAGAGAGGCCAGTGTGAGACAGGGGCTCACAGTCTGTTAATGTCCTTGTCTTCCTCCTCTTGGTGAATTACATGGAGATCTTTTGTTTTATTGTTGGTATTTTTCAAATGTTGCTCCTCTTTTAGTTTTTAAAATTGGGGTGAAAATATTTAACAAAATACAGAACAATTGAATGTTTTGCACACTTACAATGTTTTTGTATTGATTTTTAAAATGTGTAATCGTTCTTCTATTCTTTTCCAAATAATCCCGTCATCATTAGCATGAATTTAGCACACTCTAAGCATGTTGTTACCTTTATACTAGCTCCCATGCTTAATAATCTCTGTCTTCTATTTTCTTCTTTCACTGATTTTGAAATATGTATTTGTCCTTTGGCAACTGACTGAATTTGTTCAGCCTAGTATTTCTCTAGTGTCTCTATTCTGTAGGATGCTCTCTTGGCCGACTGGGTAGAAAGTTATGTTGTCAACTCAAATGCAGGTGGTTCTATTTAATCAGCTGCCCCATAGGAAAAAGGGGGACAAACTCCCATTTGATTTAGACTCTGAAAAATCTCTTAAAAGGGTCAACTCGGAGTCAGTTCTGACTCAACAGCAGCCGGTTGCCTGTTACATTTCATGTTGTGTTATATTAGACCTTATTTGTTTGTGTGTGTGTGTGTGTGTGTGATTGAATAGTATTTCTTTGTGTATATACTTCATTTAATTATGCATTCATCTATTGGTGACATTTTGGTTGTTCTATGATTTGGTGAACATTGGTGGGCAGTTTCTGTTTGCATTCCTGCTTTCACTTCTGATTTCTTCCCTAGGAAGGAATAGGGATGTGGGGTCATATTGTAGTTGTATGCTGGCCTTTTTGAATAATTGCCCAGCTGCTTTTCATGGTGGCCATATGGTTTTCCATTTCTACTAGTAGTGAGAGTTCTAGTTTCTCCACAGCTTTGCCAATTGGGTCTTTTGCTTGCTTGCTGTGGGATCATTGCCACTGTAATAACAATGAGGTAATATTTCTTTGATTGGGGTTTGACATCTGTCTCCTTAATGGCTAATGATGTTGAACATCTTTCCATGTGCTCATCCATCATCTGAACAACCTCTTTGGTGAACTCTCCAAATCTGATGACCACTTTTTTATTGAATTCTTTGCCTTTTTGTTGTTAAGTTGTAGATTCTTACTGGACAGGTGTTCCCACAATTTTCTTCCGATTTGTAGGCTGTACTTTTCATTTTTTTATCAAATCATATGGTGAACAAAAATAACTTTTATGAAGTCTCATTTATCTTGTTGACTTTTGCTGCTTTTGTTGTCATATCTGATAATCCATTAAAAACTAGGTGGCACAGTCTTGCCCCAATATTTTCTTCTAAGATTTTTTTATTATTTTACTTTTCACACACAAGTTCTCATTGACATACTTTGAATTATTCTTTTTTTTTATGATGTGAGGCACAGGTCCTAATTCATTCTTCTACGTGTAGAAATTAGATTTCCTACCTCTTTCAATTGAAACGACTCTTCCTTCCCCACTGAATAGGCTTAGCACCCTTGTCATAAATCTATTGACCTTTTACACATTTTATTTTTATAAATTTTCTTATGATGTGATGGGTGAAAATTTACAGAATAGGTGGGTTTTCCACTCAACCATTCACACAAAATTTGTTTTATATCACTGATTGCAATCTCCATTTTTCATAACATTTTTCTCACTTCCTGTATGTGATTCTTGTTTCCATTTATACTTCTATCTTCTCCTTCCTGCCTTCTGAACATTATCCCTGTGCAAATGCTGCCCTTGTGATCTTATATAGTTGATTGGCTAAGGACTGAATACCTCCTTTAGAGTTATTGCTTAGCTTATAGAATTAGTGGATAAAAATTGAACCACATGGGTGAATTTATTTTGAGGCTTTGCAAGTGATTGAGGTTCTGCCAGTCTCTAGGCCAGTAAGCTGTCCATTTTTAACGTTTTTTCATTTTTATTAGTTATTTTTCTCATACTCTGGCTGAAACATTTTGTTTTCTCTGTCAGAATGGACAGCAGTTCTAGGCAGACACCATCTATTCCTTCTGATCTTAGGTATTGACAGTTGATGTTGCTCCTTGAAAAGCAGGTTTAATTTGCACAGAATCTATGTTCATGAATGATGTTACTCATATTTATTGTTGTTTATCAATATTAAAAGGAGACGTTTTCCTATTGTCTTAGTTTGCTAGTGTGATCATTACAAGAGTACGAGAAAGGGGATGACTTAAACGGGGAGACATTTATGGTCCCACAGTTTTGCAGACAAGAATCCGTAACAGGGGAGTGGCTGTAAGAGTAGATCTTTCCTTAATGTTTGCATTTTCACATGTTCTTTCCTTCGTCTGTGTGTGTGTGCGTGTGTGTGCGCACACACACCTTTTCTTTATTCTTTTTTTTTCTAAAAAACTATTCATAATGTTACAATAAACATAAGAAACTACTAAAGAAGGCCATAATTATAGATGCAGAGGTTAGGATTTAATTATTTTTTTTTAACAAATGAGTCAGACCAGCTCTTTTGTAAATTGGGAAACCTTCCACCTTATTCTAGCATCTGGAAACAATATAAAATGAAATTGAAATAAGATTTCCTTTGGAATGTAAAAGATTTTAGGGATTAAATAGAGGAGAGAAATGTAAAAGATTAACTTTGGATTTATCAATTTCACTGTGTTCTGTAAAATTAAAGATAAATGCTACAGTTTGGTGAGTAAAGGAAAGGGGAAAGATCTGGTGTGAAAAACAATGTATACGTATGACAAATTACTTTTAAACTTAACTTGGTTTTTTCATGAATTTAGGAAAAATTAATAAATCATATAAAATGAAAGCTCTTGATGACGGACTCATTTACTTTTCAAATACTGATTCACCGTTTGCTCTTTGGGTGACACTGTAAATGGTGGGGATCTTGCAAAAAGTCAGCTATACCAGCTGCTGTTGAGTCAGCTCTGACTCAAGGTGACTCATGGTGTACAGAGTAGAACTGTTCTCCGGAGGATTTTCATAGCCGTGACCTTTCAGAAGTAGATTGCCATTCCTTTGTTCTGAGGCACCTCTGGGTAGACTCAAATCTTCAAAGTTTTGGTTAGTTACTGAGTATAGGAATCACTTTCTCACCTAGCGCTTTTTAAAATGAGAGCATCAAGTATGAACGTCTTGATCCAAGGCACTTACTTTGTGGCTTTGGGAAACAAATTCCTTCTGTGGGAGTTATTTTTATATTGCACTGATGCTGTTAGGGCCAGGACTTTCTGATGGTGTATCTTTGAGTTGAATGCATTGCTTGGAACTGAAATATTTTCTCGGAAATTACATTGGATTGTGGCACAACCAGAGAGAATTCTCCTCATGGAATTATTATGGAAGGTCTCCTCCTCTTTTATCCCGGGGCTGTTAACCATGGTAAAAGAGCTACATTCTTTCATACACTTTATCTACAAGAATTTCCTGAAAAAGAAGAGTGATATTCCCTTGAGGTGATACCTAGAACTTCCCCATGTCTTGAAAACCCAGAATCCGCTCTGTTAAAAAATGTTTTAATTTCATTATCTTGATTAATTTGCCAAAACTTAGCAGCAGCTAGATTGTTGAAGCTGGGAGTGAAACGAAAGAAAATTATGGCTTAATGGAAGAGTGGGAAGAGAGGAGCTCTTGATCTTTGACCCATATTGTAGGAATTTGGAGGTTTATTTAGTTGAAAAAGACTCCTCATTCTCAAATAAAATACTCATTCTTCCGTGTGGGGGGGTTATTCCCTGAGTTTTATTTACTGAGTATCAATATGAAATTATTTGGTATTCTGTGTTCTACTGAACTGAGTATTCTGTGAGATATCCTGGATAACAAAAATTCCCATGGGAAAAGATAAGTTGGGTCAAAGTATAACCCTGGAAAGGGTTAAACCGGGTGGCTCCTTGGAGGCAAGGATTCTGAGGCTCCGTCTAACATACTTTGGACAGGTTGTGAGGAGAGACCGGTCCTTGGAGAGGGACATCATGCTTGGGAGGGTGGAGGGACAGCGCAGGAGGGGAAGACCCTCTATGAGGTGGATTGGTTCAGTGACTGGGATAATTGGGATGGGAGTGTCAGAGACAGTGCGATTGGCACAGGACAGAGCGGAGTTTAGGGCTGTTGTACATAGGGTCGCTATGAGTCGCAAGCGACTCGACGGCACATAACAACAACAACAATAATATGCTGGTACTGTGTCAGGCCTTTTACATATGCAAAATATAACCCGACCATCCTTTAAGACACATTGGATGAAGTCGATGGCACGTGTGGAGAATCTAAGTGCCATCAGACTCAGACTCCCTGCTGTTAAGAAGGGACTGATGAGAAGTGATTTCTCTTTCACTCTGCAATCTGGCTTGCTGGCTAGCTAGCTCTTCACTGCCTTAAATTCTGAAGGTTGTGTTCCATGCGTAGTTAACCAGACAAGGATCTCCATCCTCTCCAGACACAGAACATTCCTACTCTCTGTAGATGGCCCCTGGATAATTCCTTTCTCCCCTCTGGGAATGCAAAAGTTTCTTTGGCCCACAAATTTACTCTGGATAATGATACTTGGATATCTGATCTATAGCAACTTGATAGTGACCTCTAAAAGGGTATATAGAAATATTTTTTTTTCCTCTCAGGTTCTAGAGGAGAAAAAAAAATTCCCACCAGCACCTTAATTTTGGTCTGCTGACCTCCACCACTATGAGAGAATGCATTTCTATTGTTTCAAGCAACTCATATTTCTGTTATTTATTAAGTAAACCTAAAAAATAAAGACTATAATAGAATGAAATGGATGTCATAAATTAACACATCAAGCAGTTAAATAGAAGAAATAATGAGAGAGCTGAATTGAATATAAGATTTCAAAGTCAACTCAAGAAGACAAAGCAAGTATTATAATGAAATGTACAAAGACTT